GCTAATAGTAAACCTACCATTTTTTTTTTCCCCTAAAGTTTTTTTTTTAATTTATTTACTTTTAAGCTTTTTCAGTTCTCTGGCTATGTAAAAACTAGTGCCAGCGCTGGAGATGCCTGGAGAGTAAGACCATCTATTTCTGCAGCAACTTTCAGTTAAAATTGTCTCCAAAGGATAAATTTGTTATTAAACACATGAATAAACATATGAACGTAAACTTATTAAACAGGGAGCAGTGCCTGGAGACCTGATCTCACTGTGATTTGTGATGTCAAATAATAGAAGATTATTCTATCTGAAACTATCATCTGAGTATGAAGAGAAGAGGGCTGGGAACAGAGTTTAATCAATTATGTTTTATTACTCCTTATGGGAACAGAGTCCAATTGAATATGTTTTATTGCTCGTTTTTTTTATTTTCTCCTTTATGAGCAAGATGTATCATGATTTTTCTTAGGCTGGAACAGATGACTTAAACGCTGGTGAAGATCAGCAGCCGCTTAAATAACAGATATGGGAATAATGTATATACCTCTTCATATATGAAATTCAGGCTAATATAATTAAGCATGCTATTAAGAAAAAAGAGTTTATCCTCTAACAGCTTCCTCCGGAAGCTGGTTTTGTTACTCTAGGTCTCAGATTATCCACATTATGTCAAGAATTTTGAAAAATCTTGTTTTCAGGTTGTTTTAGTGACTAGAACACAATTCTTGAATTTTATTGCTGATTTCTTTAATAAATATTTCAGAAAAGAGTATGGATGGAGTTTTTCAGCTTGAAGCACAACCTGTAGAATTTAGAAGCCGTGCCTGTTCCGTTCAGCTAATTGCTTTGAGATGGGACATTGTTAATTACTAGCTGTGCCTTTGCTATGCCATGTGAGCAGACAGAATTTTTCAGTGGCACAAGTATGTTGCTTTTTGAGCAGACAGAGCAAAGGAAACGCGTAACCTGCGATACACACCCCTCAGATTTATGTGAGTCCTTGTTCTGTAGCTGATGCTACCTTAACAAATCCCTTTTGCTCCCAGCTGGTTATGATTCTGCATTTCTGAATCTTCTTGATAACTTTGCTGCCCAGACTGACCTACCTGTTTGTCGGTTTCATGGGTTTCTGTCTTGTCCTTCACTTAGAGATCTCTTTGAAGGAAGGATTGTTGTTTTCTGTGTGCTTGTGGATCACCAGCAACAATCTGTTTTGTGTGAGCTTTACTTTAAATGTTAAGTAATAGTTTTATTATTGCTTTAACATCTGTTTGTTGTGCATAGTTCTTTAGTGTCTACAGGGGGAACAAGCAACAAATCTAAATACCTTATCGCAGAGGTTATTAAAAAGAAATAAAGTTAGGTGTCAGACCACAACCACAGAGTGATTTTTGCCTCCCTACTTTAGACTGGAGTGAATTAGCATTTAATCAGATTGTTCCTTTACTTATCTTCCCTAGCATAAAGTGATATATGCAAGAAACATTCCACAGGGTGGTAATAACCCAGATTGGGTTTGTAATATTGATTTTATACATGTAGTGTAGCTTTGCATGCCTCAAGAACATAACATGCACTTCTGTTGCCTAATTTTCCCCTTGGGCCAGATTTGGACTATCTGCACTGGTCACAAGAGGAGTTTTGAAAGTGCGTTGTCTGTAGTAATGAGCTGTCCTGGGATAAACTGCAATTCTGACATAAGGGTTCTTCCACTACAGTAATCCCATTGTGGAGTTGTCCCGAAAGAATATGCCTGGTTATGTGCACATTTTTTGCTGCTAGAGAAGATTTTACTTTTTCGTTTTTTAAAGTATAACTTAATATGCCAATAGTAGAGTTTACTGATTCAGAAACATGAAGCAGACATAAGGAAATGACTCATGCTTAGTACTCTTGGGGAAAACAAAGTTTTAAAAAACTTGTTAGTGGAGATTGTTCTGTCATTGTGGTATTACTCTGAGGTAGAGCTTCATGTATATCTTTATACATGCAAGATGAGTTTTGATTTATATTGATTTCCTCTTTAGCTTACTAAAAGTCAGTTTTTAGAAGTTCAGATCATTGTTGTCTGTAACATGCTATACTGTGTGGGAGATGCAGGAATAGAATAATCATCTCATTCCTGAATGATATAGTCAGCTGAGAGCTCTGTTCTATGTGGAATGGTAGGATTCCCTTGCTGCTCCTTCATGCCTCGTTTTCAATGTGTTTATGTTAGACTTCATTTGCCAGTGTTTGTCTGCACTGAATATCATATGCAATTACTTTTATCTAAAGTGGACTTGATGTGATGTCTGAAGACTTTATTTCTTTTTATGCTTGGTTATAAGTATCTTTTTTTTTGGCACGAAATTGCATTTACTTAGAACCAAACGAGACCATTAAGTTATTAAATATAGAAGGCTGAACTCTGTTTTTTTGCTATTCCACATAAAGCATTAAAGTATTTTTTTCTGATACGTTGACAAGGAAGAAGAGTAGCATTCTTAAGGAGGTTATATGTCAGTATTTATTTGCTGTTAGAGAAATGTACACTTGGTATATTGTTTGTGTATAATGTCTCTTAGCTGTTTATATAAAAAACTAAGACCCAGTGTGGTGTTTTATATATATTACAGATGGGCTGGAAAATGTACAGCAAAAGAAAATCTTTGAAGAGAATAAGAAAAAGAAACAACCGAGAGAAGAGCTGTGTCCTGCTGATTCGGTAGACTCTCTGATGGCAGAAATGCCATTTATCGACACAGATATTGAAGATGAATTTGTTAGTAAGTATATTAAGCAGAAGTGGTGTGGAAGCATAGACACATCACACGCTCAGTTCTTGATCTTGCCTGTTGGCACATACAGGTGGGCTTTGCACATGGAACAGAGCCTCCCTGCGAACAGAATCCAGTCCAGAGCCTCTCTCGTTAGTACTCAGTCCTGCAAATACTTGAGCATATTAAAAATTTACCGTTTTGTGATCTATTGCAGCAGTGAGTCACAGAATAAAGACATCTCATATGTCAATTCACATTACTGTTTATGAGCTTCTCAAGTGATGGCTTTTATGAGCTGTCTTCCAATATGTGTATTCCCAGCATGGGGCTAGAAGTACACCTCTAATTGGACAGTGGATGTCTGCAGCCCGGTCAGTTTATGGGTATGTATCAGGCCACGTGGTGGGAGAGGGTCTGCAAAGGCTTGAGGAAATAAGCTGGGAGAAAAATAATTTATGATGCAAAGGAAAAATTGAGGACGCACTTTTCTTTCACTGTGTTAGAAGGTGTCTGGGAAAGGAGGAGGTAGAGAGTAGATCTGGCTTGGATTAAATTTTCTTCTGGGCTGGATTTGATCCTTGAACTATAGATTGTCCAGTCCTAGTCTAATACAACCTTTTCCATTAATAATCCTATGTCTTATCATGTTTTTATATTTCAAAATACAGCATGCATGGGTTTTTTGAAACAATATTGGCTCTTTCGCTCTAAAGTCACGTCCATGTTCAAGTGTAAACAATTTGCAGGCCTATTACACTGCAGAGTAAATGACACACAGTAGTTTGGAAGCTGTGTGTCTATGTTAGCAGCTTATAAGCCCTGCTTAGAGGTGTAGGCTGTTAGTTCGAGTATGGTACTCCACTTGGATGACTACATTAGTTCAGGTTGCAGTAGGATCCCAATCAGACAGTTCAGAGCATGGGCAGATCAGATGGCTGGGAAGACATGCTCCAGTAAATTTGCTGAAGTCCAGCTCCTGTTGGCATGATATTAAGTGTATCTTTGTTTTTTTATTTGTATGCTGAAAGTAATTTTTTCTCTCTTCAGTGCATGCAACCTCTGAAATAAATACAAAAAAGAAAAGAAAGAGGACTACTGGAAAGGAAATTGAAGAAGGCAGTGAGAGGAAGAAGAAAAAGAAAAAACAGTATCAGCCGAATTATTTCATTTCTCTTCCAATTACTAATCCAGAGGTGATATTCTTTATTATGCTAATTTGGTATAACCAGAATTACTTCAACAGCTGCATGCATTTATAAGAACAGTATTTGATCTTGAGCAGAATAATTTTTTTCCAGGTATTTTTAAAGGAACATTAGACCCTATTCAAAGAGTAATTTTATTTTATGTTTTCGTATAAAATAGCTTATCTGGAAAAGACTAGAGGAAAAATATTTATCTTTTTATGCAGTTTGTCAGTCTTACGGATTTCACATTATTTTGACTGAAGCTGGCTTAAATTTCCCCTCTATACTGTTCCAGGATGGCTTATTTTGTCATTCACTTAGAATAAGGAAAAGAGACATTCCTATTTAGTTCAGTAAGAAAATCCCTAGCAATATTTTTAGCTCTCCTTATAGACAGGAATTTAAATTTGGATCTATTGCTATTTTAACTAGCAGTTTATAGTTTAACATTTTCTAGTAAAATTGATCATCTTATTTAAAATTCAAACCACCTATTGTTTTGGTGAGATGTTGTTGAAATGAATTCAAGAAGTGGAGAGAACTCTTTAAGAAAATGTATTTTCCTGTAGTTAGCATGTGTTGTCTCATTTAGACAGCAAATGAGAATGATTTCTTGGATGCTGTGGGATGTCTCTGGTACGGCTTTGCTGCCTTTTGTGTCTGCAAACAAGGAAAGTAGGTACATTATTTTTACAATGTTAAAGTTTATTTTTTAATACCAGGAGCTATCTCAGGTGAATTTTAACTCATCCTACATCTGTACTATCTTTTCTCTGAGAAGGTCAAAGAGTAAGAGAATCCAAAATGAAAATAAACCAAAGTAGGTTTGAAAATTACAGTGCAATCTTTGATTCTTAAAACTACATACTATGTGAAGAAGAGATTGTAGAGGCTGGTTTTATAAGATCCAGCATAGCCTAACATGAATATTGTGGGACATCTTTTGTGCCATCTTACTCTGAAATATCTTTTCTTCCTGTCTGTTTCATGATTTAACAAGTGCAAGAATAATGTAGGGGTTATATAATCTGATAAGGGAGAATGCCTGCTCACAATAGTTATTATGTTGAATGGCTGGTTGTGTGGAAAAGTCTTAATTATGCATGTTTTTCTATATGTCATGTATTTAGTCTTACATCATTTACAGAGGTAAAGGAACAACTATATTAAATCTCAGAGCATTTGGGAATTCCAAGACTTTGCTGGAAAGTTTTGTTTATACCTGCCTTGGATGTAGAGTTGTTCTGAAAGTAGACAATATAGGTTTGAATTTGTATAGGCAACATTAGCCAAAATTTAGACTTAGGACACCTGGTGTCTTGATAGCCAGAGGGAATCTGGTAATTACTTGTAGTATTTCAGTTAGTAATGAGAGACCTTTCTTTTTTTGAGGGTCTGAATTTGTTCCAGTGAAGTGTTTTAGGCATTAGTACTCTTTCTTCATATTTTATGTAGTATTTTAAGCTTTACGCAGAGAACGATTTTGTAATAAGGGATATTTCTGCAACATTTAATGAACTGTTCCTCTTGGAAATTAAACAGTTTCCTTGTTTTCGTTTTAAGTATGTTTTGAATCTTCAGAAATAAAATGTAATGTTCCATTAATTTTGAATTTATATTGAACTTTGCATTATTACTTGTGCAAAAATAGTTAAGTGCATGATTATCATTGTATCCTTTTCTGGTCTATTTTTTTTTAAGTTACGTTTCATCTGATGTGTTATAACTTGGTAGGTTGGCCTTTCAGGTCCTTGAGTCCTGATTATAATTATAATTCATCTGTTAAATCTTTAAAGCTTACAGTCTTTATAGTCACTTACTAGTAGTATCCTTGCAATAAGCAGAACTAAGTTATTTTATTGCTCTTCAGAAGAACATATCCCAAGTAATGGGAGAGGGGACCTTGCAATCAGTATTTGAGGCCTTATTTTGGAGCACTTTTAAAAATAATGAGGGGGGAATTGTTGACTATGATCTGCCCTCAGACATTTCCTTTAGTTAAGTTAGGAAATCTCAAGTTAAGAGAAACAGTCAGCATGATAGCAGTTGAAATGTGAGATAAAACTTTGTAAGGTATTGCAAATAGGAGGTTAAATAGCACTTTAAAGCTTTTATTTATGCATTGGGTTATAACTCATTATACAGAGATGTAGGAAGAGTCCTGGTTCGCTTAATTAAAATTCAGCACACTCAGATGTTAAATGCAGCTTAGATTTATTGAAGAAAACAGAACAAATCTGAAGTCGTATTATGCATTGTGATGGCACAGCTATGTTACAGCTATTGTGTTACATTTTGATCACATAACTTCTGGGAAAACATAGTAAAAATAAATTCCTGACATTCACGAAAATGTACTTGACAACTTTTTTTCTTCTTGCCCTATAATGCGAATTGTGTAGCATGTTGTCACTTAGCCAGAGAGAGAGAACATGCTCGGTCTTCTTTCTATTTTGCCTTTATCAGAAAGGCAGCTCATTTCATACTTTCTTGGTGGGTTCAGCAATAGCTTGTCTCTGGAAGTGCTAACTGGCCATCTTTGGAATTAATGCTTTTCCAAAGGTATGTAATTCATGAGGTTTTTAGCTTGGCTTCCTAATGGAGCTTGTGCAGGTGTGAGCCTGCCTGTCTGTTTGCCTTGTTATAACCTCATTGGGTTTTTGTGGGTTTTGAACTTGCTGTGGGTTTTCAACCTGTTGTCCAAATCTGGATAAAAAATTGGCATCTTGGAGGTACTAATTTCCTACAATCTTTGTGGAATTGGTGCTTGCGTAAAAGAGAGAGCCTTGAAAGAACGTGCTTATGTTGAAGACCGCAGTGTGAGTGTGGCAATTACCTATTCTTCTGGACCTGCCAGCTGACAAATGAGTATCTGCAGGTTTGTTAGCCAGTCAGGCCCTTATAGCTGAATATCAGCCACAGCATGTGTTGCTTTTTGCCCAAGCCAGAACTGAACTGTATGAGGGAGCTTGAGGTCATTTAGGACATGAGCAGGAAGGGACTCAGAAGT